CCTTGGTTCAAACCTGACAACAAGCCCAACAGAGTTGTCAAGGAAGGGACACCAGCCCTGGTGCTCTGTCTTTGAGACCTGACCTGAGTACTGGCTTCAGTGGGACTGCTAGGTTGTGTGACCTTGGGCAAGTCACTCTCTCTGGACGTTAGTCTTCCCATCTGGAGTCTAAATCTTGGATGTGCCTACTATGGTGATAGCTACATTTCCTCTCTGGGTGGCCCCACTTGTCCCCTTTAATCTAAGTGTCCCAGGCAGGACTTTCCCCTAAGGAAAGGGTGCAGGACTGAGAAGAGTCTGGGCTGCCCAGAGAAGGGATGCAGACTTAGAGATGCTGAAACAGTCACAGCCTGTCTCCAGTCTGGCATCTTGAGACACCAGGCACAGCTGTGTGTGGCGCCTCCGACACAGCGTCTGGTCTTAGCTGTCTCTTTACAGAATGGATAGAGAGAAAGACGGGAGACATCTGTCACACAGGCGCTCTCTATCCCCTGACCACTGACACATGGAGCCTTTCCATTTGCAGGGGTCAGGTCATCCCTTAGAAAGGGGTGTGTGAAGTGGGTCTGGGGGAGGCCCTGGGACTGCTAGGTTGTGTTGGGCAGACCGCTCACTCACTCTGGGCTTCAATCTCCCCATCTGAAGTCTAAGTCTTGGAGGCACTAACAGTGGATGCTGCTGCGTGTGATGTGTGGGCTGAAAGCCATTCCCACCCCCTCACCCGATATCCTGGGGGCTCCTGGTGCTCTGCAGGCCCACCTGGCTGAACCCTTCTGGGCCTGTCCATTTGTTGCCAGCTAGGTTTGTCTGGGTGGGTGAGTAGATGGAAGACTCAAACAGGAAGATGGGTCCAGCCAGAGCATCCTCCCAAGCTGGGTCTGGTGGGCAGGCCTGTCCTCCCAGGTACTCAGGAGACTGGAAAGGAGGATCACAAATTCAGGGCTTGCCTGGGCAACATAGCAAGACTGTCTCAAAATGCAAAAATAAAGAGGGTTGGGGATGTAGACCAGTGGTAGAGCACTTGCCTAGCACGTATGAGGTCTTGGGTTCAAATCCCAGCCCTGAAAAGAAAGAATGTCACCAATGAGGAAGCTCAAGAGCAAAACTATCAAGAGGCCAACCCTATACCTGCCTCTACTCTGTCTTGAGTGCAACTGTTAGGGACGGAACATCCCATGGCCAGGGGACATAGCCCTTGCCTCCACATAGGGAACTATGGTCTGGAGGGCCTCACAGGGAACTTCAACCCTGGAGAGCAGTAGAAATAGCTTGGGCAGCTAAGTAAAAGCTGGCCTGTTCACTTGTCCCCAAGACTGATACCTGGCTTCATTCTGCTGGCCACAGCAGAGGCTCACAGATGGGACGTTCATGTGCCAGTGGCAGACGAGCCAGCTTGGGCCTAGTGTGTGTTTGTATGGCACATGCTTTCTAGAATACTCTGAGGCCTGCCTACATCTCACTGGGTGTCTTGGAGGTGTGAGCTCTGTCACATCCCATGGACACAATTAGAAGATGCTGGGGTAAGATGAGTGAACTGCAGTGAGGGGCCAAATGTACCCACCGTCCATAGCTTAAGAACTAAGAGCAAAGTTGAGGAGAAAAAAGAATATTTCATGAGCCACGAAAAGTGTATAAAATTCCAATTCCTGTGGTGTCCACATGTTTTATCAGAACCTAGCCTGGCTCACTCATTTACAAATATCTGGGGTAGCTCAGGCTGCAGGTCCTGTAAGGTTAAGAAGCTCACCAGATACTGTGGGGGCAAAAACCAGGCTCCCAATTCCCCACCCGAGGGAAGATCAGCTTATAGGCTTGCAGAGACGGGTTTAGGGAGCAGATCTATAGGGTACTCTGCATTTCAGTGCATATGTACCAGTTTAGGGTTTTATGGTTTTATATTGTTGTGTTATTTTTTTCTTCTGTTTGAGACAGACCCTCATGTAGCCCAGGCTGGCCTTGAGCTCACTGTGGATGAAGGTAACCTTGAACTGATCTTCCTGCTTCCATCTCTGAAGGCTGGGATGATAGCAGTGTGCCACCACTTTGTCCACTAGACTAGGCCACCACACTACCAGACCCCCCCCCTTTTCTTTTTTTGGTTTTAAAATTTTACAGGTTTTGTTTTGGTCTTTTTGAGACAGGGTCTCCCTGTAGCCCCAGCTGGCCTAGAACTCACTAAGTAGACAAGGCTGGCCTTGAACTTACAGAAATCTGCCTGCCTCTGCCTCCCCAGTGCTAGGATTAAAGGCGTATGCCATCACGCCTGGCATACCAAGGTATTTTCAAGAAGGATCTCTGAGTGATAAAACTGAGGCCTTTTATACATATTAAAATTCTGGGGGCTGGAGAGATGGCTCAGCAGTTAAGAGAACTGGCCGTTCTTGTAGAGGACTTGGGTTTGGATTTAAGCACCCAATCTCAAGGCTGAGGCTTTCTAGCCCATCTCTCATCCACAGTGTAAATGGGTCTAAGTTCACTGTAGGTCTAACAGGTTGGCTGGTGATAAAATGCCCTCTACCAATTCCACTGTGGGAATTGAGACCTGGGGAAGTGGGGACCCCTGTCCATGGTCACTCAGCTGGTGAGAACAGAGGGGAGCTCATCCTACTTCCAGCTCATCCCTGGATTTCTGGCAATGAGGGCCAGGGGTCTTTCCAGACCTGGCTCAGCCCCACCCTGTCCAGGGGAGACAGCTCCTCCCTCTCTCCCTACTTCCTGCAGCATTCCAGCCAAGTCCTAGGCCCCTCCACCCTCTCCATCCCCACAAATTTCCGGACCTTCCTCCTTGCTGGGGGGTCTTGGCAGGCCAGGAGAGAGGAAGTGGTCCTTTCCAACTCACAGGGTCAGGTGTGGCTTGGGGGAACACTGGAGGGAGGTGGGGAGGGGATGGGGCCAGACTAAATTCCTGGACACTCCAGTGAGGTTGAGCCATAGGCAGGTGCTATGGAGAATAAGGGGGGTGGAGGGAGTGTGTGAGTTTAGGGATTTGAGAGCTAAAAGTGGGGGTGCTGGGACTAGAAGGAGGGCTGTAGGGTAGGGCCACAAGCAAAGTTGCCAATTTGGCCTCCTGTGGAGGGGCTGTCTCTGCTTCTAAGAACAGTGCTTCCCTGCCCCCACAGCCCTGCCCTTTAAGTTAGGTAGGTTCTATGAAATCTCACAGTCAACATTCCTTCTGAGTCCAGAAGGCTAAACCACTGAGCAGGAAAGGGGGAGCCCTGCCCCTACTGTTCTCAGGCCTTCCTTCAGGAAGGACTACAGGGTGACTTCTGGCTCTTAGGATCAAATCCAAGGTCCTTCCCACAGTCCAGGCCTACAGATCTGCTCATCTTGAGCCTTCTCTGCTTCCTTCCAGCTTAGCAAACACAATAACTCCTTCTCTCCCAGGGCCTTTGCACTGCCTCCGTTGAGCTGGCAACACAGGCCTCCCTAGCTCACTGCTCACTCTTCAATGGCTGTTCACTTCCTGGTTAGGCTTCCTCAAGCACACTCTCATGCCTCCTGCTTGTGTTTCAACATGGGGACTGTTACTGTAGGCTTTCTAGCAGTGGCCTTCTGATAAGTGGTCAGTGCAAATCCAGACACACAGCAAATCAGTGAATGCCCATGAGGGAGTAGTGAATGGGACTGGCATGGAAACAGACAAGGAAACATCACATCTGTGGGCCACCAGTGATGCGTTCCCCTGCATGTCTAGATTTCTGTAGGCACCACGCAACATTCTAGAATGTTGTGATGTGCAGTATTGGCAAAGCTCTGGGTCCACGCTGTCCCCTGCATAGCCACACATGGCTCTTGAGTGATCAAAGGGTAGCTACACGCTGACCTTTTAAACTAATATGAGCTGAAGTAGCTACAGGTGGTTAGTGGGACTGTGTTGGGCAGCAAGCTCCCAGAAGAGGAGGTTTCTATTGTTCCCAAGCTGGTAGCCTGCGGCTCTATCACCCAGGGAAGCACAGGGAATTCCCAGCCCCTGCTGCTGCCCCTCCAAGTCAAACACACCAGGGGTTCCTTGGTGATTCCACCAGATTGCCCATCACATCACTGTGTCTCAGTGGCTACCAAGTGACGAAGCAGGGAGCTCTCTATAGAGGAACAGAGAGGGGACCTGAGAGCAGGGCCATCCATCTTTATCATTACCATCAGCATCATCCAACTGATACAGCCACCAAGGCCACCAGCAGCAAGCCACACCCAGACCAAAAGGCCACCAAAACTCCTGGCAACATCACTCCCCACATCCATCACACACCAGGCTGCTTCCCTCCCCGCCCCTCAGTAAGACCATCCCTGGCATAGCACCAAGGAATTCCACAGTCGACACTACCCCTGGCCTTTGACCTCACCACAATGCCAACACAGCCACCATAGTGTCCTCCATTACAGCCCCACCCCCATCATGGACATTGCCCCCAGTTGTCACCTGCACAGTCACTGCATTCCCCGCTCCCCAGCATCTGCAGCCAACTTGCCATGCCAGCCCTAGACTCCAGATGCCTGGGTTTGACCCCAGCCCAGAGTTCGGATCACTCAGCTTCTAAGAGGCTCAGTTTTTTAATTCTATAAATTGGGCCCACTAGGGACTGTAACAGTCAAATATTTGTTGTCCCTGAATCCTGGCAAGACCTCAAATTCGGAGCAGCTCATGATTTTGATAAGTGCTAATGCTCCCAGGGGCTCTGTGCTGTGGTGACTCACTAAAAAAAATCTTTGCGTAGCTGTGAAAGGTAGTGATCTGTAAATTTTGCAGGTGAGGAAACAGGCTTGGAGAGGTGATCCACTTACCCAAAGACCTCCTGATAATATAAGAGGTGGCTGGGGCTGGAGTCTTAACATGGACCAGGATATGGCTGTCCCTTTTCCCAGGGGAGAAGGGAGGAGCCTGGATTGGCAGACAGGACTTTCTGCACCCCAGGTTCCCCCCTCAGAGATGCTGAGGGTGGTCTCCAGTCCCTTTGTAAAGGTGGTAGTGGCACCTGGCCAGGTCTTCAGGGTCTGCTCACCTGTGTCCTGTCGGAACTGGTGCATGGACTGCAGGTCTATGATGTAGGGTACCAGCTGGGCATCCACCTGGCCCAGGACTACAGAGCCCCTGGCATCCTCCTTGAGTACGTTCTCGATGTGGTGGCACACAGTGGCGGTGTAGGGTCGCCATCGACTGTGTTCATTCAACCACTCCCACACCACCACCCTGGCCACGTTCTGCGGTGGGAAACCCAGCCCGTTCACCGGCACCATCACACCCTGGCCTGGCCGAGACATGGCCGTTGTCTCCTGGGGGGCCAGGTCCCCAACTCTTGCTGGCCCAGCTCCTCCTGGGCCTGGGAGCACCCGGGAAGTGCCGTCCTCTCTCCCCAGGGCGAGTAGCGAGGGCTGTGGCCTGCTTCCTGGCTCCGCGGCGGCGTCTCTCCAAGACCTGGAGGCCTGGGTTAGGGGGATGGGTGGCAATCCAGACGCTGCGGAGGACCCCTTCCCGCAGAGCGCAGCTGTCGCACACTCGGGTGCACGCAAGGTAGCGTCTTTCTTACGATGGGGGACACTCTCAATTCCTTGGTCCCCCTGGTTCAGGTGGGAGGGAGGCGCCCGCCCCTGTAGGTACTGCCTCTTCCACACTGGTCTCTGGTCGTCTTCTCCCTGCCACGCAGGGCCTTGTCACCCCGGCGGCGGCGAGGGCCCCAGCCTGCTGCTGCCTGCGCTTTCGTTCTGCGCTGGCGACTGTGACCCAGACCCGGCGCCTGGCTTCCTCGGCGGCGGCTTGGATCCGCCCCTCCCGACGGCTTTGCTGCAGGGGCGTCCCTACACCCCAGCACGCAGGCACCCCGTCCCCTCTCCTGGCCGGCTCTGGAGTGGGGGGATCACAGATCACCAGGAGAAGTGGGCGGAGCGCGGGGCCCGCGGCTCCGGAGCTGTGGCTGGGGGACCTGGGGGGGGGCGGGGGCCGCGGGCACGCCCCACCCCACTCGTGCTCGCGACCTGCATGGGAGACAAGAAGGGGCGAGGGCCCTTTAAGAGGAGAACTCAGCCCCCTCCCCCTCCCGGGAACCGTGGTGGAGAACAATGGGGCGTCGGTGGGGGGGCGACAGGGGGGCTCTGGGGTACCTGTCGGCTGTCCCTGGGGCACCAGGAGCTGAGCCCGCATGGGTCCCCAGACTGTCGCCAGCAGCGCCCCTGCTAGGCTGGTGAGCACCCCAAGCCAGCGCGCTGCCGGGGATGCGGGTGGCTTGAGAGTGGGATAAGGGATTCGGGATGCAAGGATGTGGAGATGTAGGGTGCAGGATGCCGGAGGTGGGGATGCGGGATGCTGGATGAAGGATGCGTGATGAGGGACGCGGGATGGATGGAAGGTGCGGGGTGCGGCCGCGGCCCAGGGCCCCTCAGAGGTCGCGTCCCTAGGGGTGAAGCCTGGATCTGCTGGTCCCAGTGTCACCGCCCGGGTGCATCCTCCCGCGGGCCCACAGGAGCCCGGGATGTGGGGTCCCAGCGCCCGCGCTCACCGAGATCTCCCCGCGCTGGCTTCTTCTCCGCCGAGCCCCGCTCCCGGAGGGAGGGAGAGCAGGAGGGAGGGGACAGTCCCACCTCCGCCCCAGCCCCAGCCCTCGCAGGTCGAGCGAACAGACCGACGGACGCAGCAGTCGCGGGAGCACCGACACAGCGCCGGGATCCCGCGGGTGGAGGCGGTCTTGCTCCTGGGCGGGGCGGGCGGAGGAAGGGGAGGAGACCGACCCGCCCCACCGCGGTGACACGCGAGTCGCCGGCTCCCTGAGTCCTGGCTAGGCCCGCCACGACGCCCCTGGATCTAGGCATGGGGGGAGACGGGAAGGGGGCAGTTAGGGGTCCTCGCACCAATCTGTCCTCTTTACATTCAAGGATTCTGGCCAGGGCCTGGAACACAGTAGGTGCTCATTAAATGCTTGACTAGATGAATCTGATTTAGAGACAGCCTAAAGAAAGCTCCTCAAGCTTTCTGGGGTGGCCTCCTGTCTCCTCTCATGATTCATGCAAGTGGGAAAGGCCGGCAAGGCCCATTTCAGAGCCAAGTAGAACCCTGGAGCCTGAAGGGTTCACATGAGAAGACTGAGGCCTAGGAAGGATGAAAACCAGGCCCCAAATCACGGAACACTGGGCAGTGCCCACATCTGCACCCAAATTGTTCAACTGGGGAACCCAGTTAGCCAGCCCAGTCCTTCCCCACAGCACCCACCCTTACTCCAGGCTGGAGGGTTGGGGACAACATCTGCCTGTCACCGAGGGAAGGAACCTAGGCCAGGAGGTGGACACTAGAGGGAGGGAAAGAGGGCTTTGCAGGAACACATCTACCTGCAAACAGTGGGTGTTCCATAAATGCAGATGAGAATTTTGTGGCAGCAATTCAAGTGTTAATGGACACCAAGCTGGCCCTTTGTCCTCTGGCAAACTGGACATAGTAGCTAGGACACACACAGGCTGGGAGGGGGAGGCCCCCAGGGCCTGTGGTGTTTAGATTGGGGGAGATGAGGAATGTGGCTGCCCAGGCTGTCCGGAACTCCCTCCCAGGCCAACTGAGTGGGGGTCAGTGGTCTGCTTGGGAGCCATCCCAGAGTGGCCCACGCTCTCTCCTCTGCCTCCCGGTGCAGATGGTGAACTAGACAGGGTCAAGGGCAGGTTGTGCTGGGTGCTTTCCCAGAACCGAAATGGGCCAGCTGGAGTCCCTCCCCTACTTAGGCTTCACTCAGTCCTGCAGGCCTAGTGCCCAGCTCCTGGGTCAACAACTGCTTCCCTTGTGTCTGCAGCAGACTGAAGAGAGGGGCTTGTGGGTGGGCAGCTCCCCAAATCTGCAGGGACAACCTCCCACAGGCTGGGGAAGCTCTGGGATTTTAGTTCAGGGTCCTCGGATGGCTTTCTCAGGGCCATGAAGATGGCCCTGCACCATGCTGACAAACTTGGGCGCCTGTGCACTATTTCCAAGATTGCCCTGGCTTTAAGTCGGTTCTTCTCAAATGTTTACAGCAGATACTGAACAACCAGATTATGATACAGAGGGAACATGGGGCCCTAGGGTGGGAAGATGTGGCTTAAAGTCACTGGGATATTTAGTAGCAAAAGAGAAAGGAGGAACCCAAGTTTCAGGATTTCCTGCTTCTTGTTATTTAAGCCTGAGTAAACACTGCCGCCTCCAGGCAGCCTTCTCTGAATTCCACCCATCTTCTTCTGTGTCACCCTGTGTCACACCTTGGTTACTGAGCCACTGGCATGAACTTGTTCCTGTTGTAGAGGAGCTACTGTGTTCCTTGTGCTTGCTGCACAAGAGACTATATGTCTGTTAGAGTGGCCCCCTGGAGGTAAGACTGGGGTCCTCATTTTATACTTGGAAAGCAAAAACCTCCACAGGAAAAAGTAGCAGAGCTGAGATTTGAACGCCAAACACCTTTGCACCTCCCACAGCACCATGCTGCTCTGGTGTTTGTTGAGTGACTAATAAATGACACCCGGCTGAGGATCTAGCACAGTGTGGTCCTTTATGGCCACTCTCTGCTGATGGAACACAGCAGAGCACTGAATCCTGCTCCTACAGCTTCCTAGGAGAAAGGTGGTCCAAGGAGCCGGAAGAAATTTGGCCATGAAGAAGTCCACACTTGCCTGGAAGGATAACTCAGAACGTACTGGAACAAAAACAATGAATTGTGAGTGATCTGTGACAGGAGGCCCAGAAGAGGATGCCACTCAGGGTGACACACAGCTGGGGCCCAGGCTCCAGGAGGCCAAAGTCAGCTCACCCTTTACTGCAGGGCACTCTGGGTCTGGTGCTGGGCCAGCTGTGATCCCTTCTTTGGAGGTTGTGTAAAGTTTAAGTGGAAAACAGGAAGCAGAACAGGATTGTTAGGGTGTCTTTGGGACATTTGTAAACCAGGGATCCTTCCTGGGGCTGTGTGTGGTGGAGGTGAATCCAAGGACTCCCAGAAGGGTGCCCTGTGTGGTGGCCTGGTCTAACAAGCAGGGGGAACCTGAAGATGAGATCCCTTGGCCTCAGCTTAAGTTCATGTCCAGCCCAGCATCCATCCACTTGGGAAATGCTGGCCTCCCTCGCTGAACACAAGCCTCTTCCTAGGAGTGTTTAAAGATGACAGTGTGCAAGCCTTGCCTCAGAAACCCAGGTCAGCCTGAGGTCTAGTTTACTTTCCTGGATTTGAGGGAGTGAGGCCCAGGCAGAGATGAGTCGGTGTGTCTGTATTGTGAACACTGTTCACTGTTTATTCAGCTATAAATCATTTACTGAGGGGCCAGTGAGATGGCTCAATGGGTAAAGACACTTTCAGACAAACCTGATGACCTGAGTTCCATTCCCAGGCCCTACCTGATGGAAGGAAAGAATTGCCTCCTCTGTGAGTTGTCCTCTGACCTTTGTATGCACACTGTGGCACATATATACATGTACACACAATAAATAATGTAATAAAAACATTTATTGGACACCTATTGTATACTAGTGACAGACACTAGGGATACAGGTGTGGGTAAAAGACATGAAAGTCTTTGTTCCCTAGCACTGACATGCTGGATGAGGAAGACAGATGGTAAACATACTGTGTGTCCTAATGTAAGCACTATGAGGAAAACGGGCCCTCTTTGACATCTCTGCAGGGGATGTGACTTGGCACAGATACAGTGACAAACAGCCTGGCTTTTCTCCTAGTGTTAAGCATGGATGTACATGACCTCACAGTTCCTCTCAACAGCATGAAATTCTTGCCCATTTATAAGAAGAGTCACACAAAAGAATGTTCATGGACATTCCATCCTCAGTCACCCAAACTAGGACAAAACCCACAGGCCCATTCGTGGCAGAGCACATGGATAAGCTATGATTTAGTTTTCAAAATGAAATATTACACAACCCTCAAAATGAAGTACTACTACTTCAGGTGCAACAGGACCATATCTGAGACAGAATGTAGAACGAAGAATGTATAAATGTGATTCCCCTTTGTGAAGTTAGTGGTAACTGAAATGATACATAAATCCATGGGAAAAGAAACTCCATGTAAAAGAAACCACAGACTGACTGTGATTCCAGTGGGGGAGTGGGAAGCTAGGAGGAGAGGAGACACACAATTAGACAGCATGAGGCCAAGATCTTAGCTTTTGCTTTGAGTGATGGTTCCATGAACATTTATTATACTATTAAAATTGGATACAATTAGGAGCTAAGGAGAGTGTGCTGTGAACTGAGATTAATGTTTAACGAAACTTATATGTGTGGTATATGTATGTGTTCTTGAGTGTATGCTCACATGAGTGCGTGTGGAAGCCGGAGGTCGTTGCTGGGTGTCTTCCTCGATTGCGCTCCGCCTTATTTATTTTGTTTGTTTGAGACAGGGTCTTACTATGTGCCCCTGTCTAGCCTGGAATTCGCTGTGTAGACCAGGCTGGCCCCAAATCCACAGAGATCTACCTGCCTCTGCCTCCTGAGTGCTGGGTGGGATTAAAGGCATGCATTATTACACCCTACTAGACCTTAATTTTTTTTCAGATTTATTTTATATGTATGAGTGTTTTGTCTGCATGTGTGTAAATAAACCCATGTCATACAATGCCTATGGAGGCCAGAAGAGGGTCTGGAACTGGAGCTGGAGTTACAGATGGTTGTGAGCTGCTATGTAGGTGCTGGGAACCGAACCTGCCAGTGCTCTTAACCAATGAACCTTCTCTCCAGTCCTCCACCTTAATTTTTGAGACAGAGTCTCTCACTGAACCTGGAGCTCACCGATTGGTTAGGCTGGCTACCAATGAGTTCCAGGTATGGAAACTGTCCCTGCCTCCCTCCAGTACTGGGGTGACAGGTGGGCTCTACCATGCCCAGCTTTTAGGTAGGTGCTGGGAATTGAACTAAGGTCCTCATACTGTGCTTTACTAATGGAGTCATCTCTCTAGTACCTCTGAGTGGCTCTTAAAAGAAGTGAGCAAGCAGGGAGGGAGGAGGCTGAGGGTTCTGGGGCAGGATTGTGGTTTTAATCAGCTGCTCATGGGTGGAGGGGGTGCCACTGAGGTAGCCTCGGAGCCAAGACCTGAGGAGGAGTGTCAAATGGCAGGCACAACAGGTTCAAAGGTCCTGTGGTGGGAGACAGCTGAGCCCTTAAGAATGACAGAAAGGTCAGTGGGCTAGAGAGAGGAAGTGTGGGCACCTGTCCTGGAGATGATGGAGCAGAAGGAAAGAATGAAGGAGCCTGGTTGGGCGGAGGAATGGAAAGGGAAGAGGACACACGAGTTCCCAGAGGGCTCCAGACTCTGAACCTGATCTGCTTCTCCTGGGGTTGTGTGAGACTCCAGGTCTTCTTGAGGCCAGCTAACTGGGTTTGTATAACTCAGAACCCAGTGGGTCCCTCCAGTCAAGTCTGGGCTGGGGACCCTGTCCTAGTTTGTTTCTTCATTTCTGTGGCAAAATACTCTGACCAATACCAACTTGGGGAGGAAAGGGTTTATTTGGCTTACATCTCCCAGGTCACAGTTCATCAGGGAGCCCAAGGTAGGAACTCAGGGCAAGAACCTGGAGGCAGGAGCTGGAGCACAGGCCATGGCTTACTGGCTTGCTCCCCTGGACTACGCTCAGTCTGCTTTCTTATGCAACACAGGCCCACCTGCCCAGGGGTGGCACAACCCACAGTAGGCTGAGCCCTCCTACATCACTCATCAATCAAGAAGATACCCCACAGACATGGCCACTGGCCAGTCCTATGGAGGCAATTCCCCAATTGAGGCTCCCTCAACCCACTGTGTCTAGTTGACACTAAAGCTATCCAGCACAGACCCCCAACTGGAAGGGGGCATTC